TGTTATAGACTCTGGAATGTCTCGGCCAGGGAACAGGACCCAAAGCCTTCCTCACAGGGGCGAACGCTCAACTAAAGGCAGAAAGTGAGGCATTGTCAAGGGAGACATTAGGAAGAAGTTGTTTAGAAAGAAGAGAAACGATAAGATCCCAAATTTAGTCACCTCTTACAATCATGCAATGGTAGGGCAGCAGGTACAATTCTTGCACGCTACCTGTAGTAAGAATGATTTACTAGGCTTCAAAGGGTCATATATAACTCTTGTAAAAAATGATGAATAATCCTGTTATTACAATATGCAAATCTACTTATGATAACTGCGATACATGCAAAATTTCGAAACTCGGCTAGAAACTGTGGGATTAGTTGGGCTCTCAAGATACGAGATCATGGATTCGAACAAGCCTGATAGCCTGCCCTCCTACCAGGCTACAGGCCGAATGGCATGACCCTAGGCCTCTCGGTTATACAGAGGAGGTTGAAACAAAGTAGATGCCAAACGAACAGACAAGGATTGACAGACACAGAGTCATCACTTCAGTTCACATACAATTTGTATCAGGTGAGCTAAAACGTTGATGCAGGATGCAGCACCATTGCAGATGCCCGCAGACATTTTGTTTATTAGTTTTTCTCTAATGAGCCGTTCCCTTGTCCATTGGGTTAAGAATAAGTTGACAAATATACCCACAATGCCATACTATAATGTCATACTACAAAGAACAAGAGGCCCAAGGGCCTTAGCGGTCACCTGAGTTATATCATAGGTACTGGTAGCTTTATTTTATTGTTTAGATGTGATGTGGAAATCAGCATGTAAACTAAGTGAAATACAATACTTGTCATGTCATCAATGGATAAGAATTTGAAAATATTGGTAAATGTTCCCTTTGGGGCCCCGCCCTAGCCCCTGGGGATGGGACAGGAATCCCAATTTTACAAAGTAAAACTCTCATTTACCCAAGATGATTCTGACTAAGTTTGAGCAATTTTCTGCTGAAAATGGATAAAATATATACCGAAAAGTGTTATTTCCCTATATAAACTATATTAAACGTTAACCCCTCCCCAAGGGAGAACGGATAGCTCGGGGTCCTGATATTTTCAATTTAAATAAAGCCCCTGATGATCTTTCTTTCCACGTAAAGAAAATCACTGTAGTACCTCTGAGTCTGGAGAAGAAGATTTTTGAAATATTGATTAATTTTCCCTTTGGGGCCCCGCCCTGGCCCCAGGGGTCGGGGTAGGAATCTCAATTTTACAATTTGAAACCATCTACCTCCAAGGATAATTCTCACCAAGTAAAAATAATTTCCTACAGAAAGTTGTCAAAATATACCCAAAAGTGTTATTTCCCTATATAAACTATAGTAAACTTTACCCCCTCCCCAAGGGAGAACGGATAGCTCGGGGGTCCTGAAATTTACAATTTAAGTAAAGCCCCTGATGATCTTTCTTTCCACGTAGAGAAAATCACTGTAGTACCTCTGAGTCTGGAGAAGAAGATTTTTGAAATATTGATTAATTTTCCCTTTGGGGCCCCGCCCTGGCCCCAGGGGTCGGGGTAGGAATCTCAATTTTACAATTTGAAACCATCTACCTCCAAGGATAATTCTCACCAAGTAAAAATAATTTCCTACAGAAAGTTGTCAAAATATACCCAAAAGTGTTATTTCCCTATATAAACTATAGTAAACTTTACCCCCTCCCCAAGGGAGAACGGATAGCTCGGGGGTCCTGAAATTTACAATTTAAGTAAAGCCCCTGATGATCTTTCTCTCCACGTTGAGAAAATAACTGTAGTACCTCTGAGTCTGGAGAAGAAGATTTTTGAAATATTGGATAATTTTCCCTTTGGGGCCCCGCCTTGGCCCCAGGGGTTAGGGTAGGAATCCCAATTTTACAATTTTGAAGCCTCATCTACCAATGATGATTCTGACCAAGTTTGAAAAAAATCCATCCACTGGTTCTTGAGAAGAAGTTGAAAATGTAAAAGTTTTCGCACGACGGACGACGACGGACGAAAAGCGATTGGAATAGGTCACTTGAGCAAAGCTCAGGTGACCTACAAATGTTGCACGGTTATTGGTCGAATTGCCAAGGTACCTGAAGCTATATATGTTAGTATCCTTGCCAGAGTACATAAGAGAATGCGCGCCTGTTGTAAGGGAGATAACTCGAAGATTTGAATCGAACACACCGGAGAACGTCCGTCTGCTAATGTCAACAATCAACAATACCAGTTGTTAAGGAACTGAGTTGTTATTTAATGTTGTTTCAAAACCATATTGTTGACTTATTATAATTTAAAAATTTATTAAATTGTTGGAATTATACACAAAAAAAAAATCTGTTTTCCCGTACTACCGCCCTACACAGTATCTGTTTTCTGGCAAACACGAGTCCCAACCTATAAATGGCTTTGCAGTATGACAAATTCGTTATACAGGTCTTTGGCAGGGTACATGGGCTCATGTTCGCTGTCAGGACCCGATGTACCCTTCGCCTCCTGTATAACTAATGATGTCTCCTCAGAAAGACTTATACAAAGCTAACAAAACCTACCAATATAGAATATGGAAGACAATGTCAATAACAAGGCTTAGACAAGAACAAGTCTCAAAATATTTAATACTTTATACAAATTTTATACAAATTTTAGTCTGTAAAATTCATTGGAGTGAAGGGTTGAAACAATAACACCTACATCATCATGCACATTGTGGTACAACATCCATCAAACAATTTTGCAGTATGGTTTTATCTCAAAGTTTAGTTTGTATATTCTGCCATACTCGTGAAATTAATGAGGTATTCAACAGGAAACCTGTAAATATTCATCTAGCTCTGCTTATATTCATAAAAATGTCCACCCGAGATCCCCAAAAAGCGTCACTGAAATGCTGACTTTGGAGTGTCAATGTTAGCCTAGTAGGTGATCTTCTTTCACAGACATTGTCACCAATATTTTACTTTAATATCATATTCAAGGGAACAATTGTCCAATCAAAAGAAGTACTTTGATTGGACAATTGTAACTGTGATATTTATAATGGTACCATATTATTATTGTGAATCATAATTAATGTTGTTTCAATGAACGAAGGATAATTAATCTATAAAATGCAAGGAAATTGATCTGTGCATTTTATATTGTAATTAGGTTTCTAAATGACCGATACCCTCAGAAACAAATTTGAGCTTTTAAGATCTGGCACAAAATGTTCACAATGAACGGACTCAGAGTTGGAATATTTCCATGTCACTAGTTTAGTTCCTGTGATAGATAGAAATGTATTTCATGACTATTTCAGTAAAAACAATCAACTCTGCCCTAGGTCTCCAGAACACCCCCCTACCCCTTAATATCCATGGTTGGGTTTCATGTCCTTTACTTCTGATAGATTCTCTGAGTGGAACCCCTTATGGCATATGTACAGTGTATCCGACTCTACTTCTATTCCTGGTTGGGTTTCCTGCATATTTCAAGATACTGCCATTAAAATTCTTAAATAAACTACATAGTTGGACCCCTGAAAAAGGGGTTTGGGACATATTACAAATGTACTAGAATCTGACATTAATAATTTTTAATGGTTATTTTACGATGACCTTCCAATACATTGATGCTAAGAAGCACATACAAATGTTACGCTTGTTGTATATATGTGTCTGATAAGAGACAGCTGGCTCAAAACGTCAACTGCCATGTCGACCGGTTACATTCCTTCTTCTCCTCTAGCTCCATATGTATGAAAATGAAGGATCGAAAAAAATGGTTGTATGGTAAACACATTGAAGGAAAACATTACTGAACTTCATTAGATATAAGCCTATGTAATGGATATGGATAGCTCATCCCACTTTCTTTAAACACTTCTCCAGAATAATCAGACATTCAATCACAAGCCCAACCCTCTCTCTCCAATTTCAGATATCAAATCAACTCTAACAACTGAAAAATTGTTATTTTTCTATTAAAGGATAAGTATATCATCTAGTAGCTAGACAAAGTCATCTTTAAGACACACTGGTACATGTATATATATATACTCGCACAAAACACAATTCCAGTTAAACAATATGTAAATTAGCAAACAATATTGCTTAAAACAAGAGGCCCAGGGGCCTTAATAGCTCACCTGGTATTTTATTTTTTCAATTTAAAACCTGCTGAGTACCATTTAGGTTTATCAAAGGAGTACAAGTAACAAAGTTGCATCTTCCATTTATAAATATTCAATTCCCTTTGCCCAAAGATTCTCTAAAACAAGTTTGGTTAGGTTAAAATCCCTTCAACGGTACAGAAGGAGAAGGATCTTTAATGTTTTCCTCTATTTCCCCTAATGGGCCCCACTAATCTGCCCCAAAGAAGGGGAATCCACACACCTCAGTTTAAA